TCTCTCTCTCTCTCTCTCTCTCTATATATATATATATATATATATATATATATATATGTATAAATGATTAAAAATCTTTTCCAATCTTCTCTCATAAGTCGTCTCATAAAGATGTAATTTCTATTTTCATCTTGTCATGAAAGATAATGCACATATGTAACTTCGCTCTTCCACTTATGGTTAATTAGCTTCGTCACAGTTAATTGTAATAGTTTCCTACAAAACCGGTTCTAAGTAATATTATGTAAACACTTTGTTCCTCCTTCTCTTAATATATTCCGTTCAAGGTACAGCATTATGAACATTTGTATACATTAAGGATAATAATAATTAAAGAAATGATTCATGATGCGCCGATTATACGAATGTTCATTCTTATTTCTTTTGAGAGAAATTATTTATCGCGCATTTGCTTTTATGTTTCCTTCATTTGGATGCAAATTTATTTAGAACCGTTTAGTTAAACTATGTTTTTGTTATAAAAATATACGTGGAGATTAAAATGTTATCGAATATCGAATACAAAGTAATATGCAAAGTAATATGCAAAAACTTCTGTTCTTTTATATATAAGATAACAAAAGAGTTTCAAAAAAAATTCTTTTGTTTTAATGATATCTTCTTAGATATTTAAATATTAAAATGAGATAATACAGCAAAATATACTTGCTTACATAAATAAATTCCACTAAATTTTATATTTCACTAAAAAATTAGAATCTCATTACTTAGTAATAATTTTTATAAATTGAGGAGAAAAAATACTAAAAATATAACATTTCGGCTTAATATTTTCGAAATAAGAATTGTAATTTTTTCATCTAAATTATTTCTATTTAATTATATCTTATTCTTGAAGAAAATAACTTATATCATTAAACTAAATAAATATGTTCATGCTATTGGAAGACGTTTAATGTACATTTAACACATATAAGTAAAATAAAATTTCTGTATTATCTCATTTTAATATTATATAAATATCTAAAAAGATATCATTAAAACAGAAGTAATTTTT